GCGGTGTCTATATCAAAGAACCAGTTAGGTTTCATGCCGGGTCGTTCTACTACGGAAGCTATCCATCTTATTAGGAGGTTAGTGGAACAGTACAGAGATAGGAAGAGAGATTTGCACATTGTGTTTATTGACCTAGGAAGGCGTATGACAAGGTCCCTAGGGACGTTCTTTGGAAATGCCTGGAGGTGAAAGGTGTACCGGTAGCTTATATTAGGGCGATAAAAGGTATGTATGATGGAGCTAAGACTCGGGTTAGGACAGTGTGAGGTGACTCAGAGCCTTTTCCGGTGGTTATTGGGTTACACCAAAGATCTGCGCTCAGCCCGTTCTTATTTGCTCTAGCGATGGACGCACTGACACACTATATTCAAGGGGAGGTGTCTTGGTGTATACTGTTAGCTGATGATATAGTTCTGATTGATGAGACGCGATGCGGCGTTAACGAGAGACTGGAGGAATGGAGGCAGGTCCTGGAGTTTAAAAGTTTTAAGTTGAGTAGGACCAGGACAAAATATTTGGAGTGTAAGTTTAGCGACGTGTCGGGAGAAGCGGGTGTGGAAGTGAGGCTTGACTCACTAGTCATCCCTAAGAGAGAGTTTCAAGTACCTAGGGTCTATTATCCAGGGAGATGGGGAGATCGACGGAGATGTCACGCACCGTATCTGGATGGGGTGGATGAAATGGAGGTTAGCGTCTGAAGTCCTATATGACAAGAATGTGCCATTGAAAATTAAAGGTAAGTTCTACAGAGCGGTGGTTAGACCAGCCATGTTGTATGGGGCTGAGTGTTGGCTAGTCAAGATTTCACATATCCAGAAGATGAAAGTAGCAGAAATGAGGATGTTGAGATGGATGTGCGGGCACACTAGGATGAATAAGATTAGGAATGAGGATATTCGGGAGAGGGTGGGTGTGGCTCCCGTGGATGACAAGATGCGGGAAGCGAGGTTTAGGTGGTTCGGGCACGTGCGGAGGAGCCTAAATGGTCCGGTTAGGAGGTGTGAGCGTTTGGATCTGGCAGTTACGAGAAGAGGTAGAGGGCGGCCTAAGAAGTACTGGGGTGAGGTGATCAGACAGGACATGTCACGACTTCAGATTTCCAAGATTTCACATATCCAGAAGATGAAAGTAGCAGAAATGAGGATATTGAGATGGATGTGCGGGCACACTAGGATGAATAAGATTAGGAATGAGGATATTCGGGAGAGGGTGGGTGTGGCTCCCGTGGATGACAAGATGCGGGAAGCGAGGTTTAGGTGGTTCGGGCACGTGCGGAGGAGCCTAAATGCTCCGGTTAGGAGGTGTGAGCGTTTGGCTCTGGCAGTTACGAGAAGAGGTAGAGGGCGGCCTAAGAAGTACTGGGGTGAGGTGATCAGACAGGACATGGCGCGGCTTCAGATTTCCGAGGACATGACCTTTGATAGGAAGGTGTGGAGGTCGAGCATTAGGGTTGTAGGTTAGGGGGTAATCGAGCCTTTCTCCTCGCTGCGCCGGCTAGTCTGATAGTGTTTTGTCTAGGACTGACTGCTAGCAGTTTTTGTTGTGTTTCACATTTTTTGTTGTTTTTCACATTTTAGCCTTACATTTATTTGTTGTATTTTACGATGCTGATACTATTTTTCTGGTTTCTGTTGTGGTATGGATCTATTGTATCTGAGTCGAGGGTTTTCCGGAAACAACCTCTCTATCCCTTCGGGGTAGGGGCAAGGTCTGCGTACATCCTACCCTCCCCAGACCCCTCTAGTGAGATTCTATTATGTTATTGTTGTTGTTTGTTGTTGTATAACTTTGCTGAGCACATCTGACCTTCAATTACACCATAATTGCAGTTTGGTCCAATTATGAACAGTAATAGACAAATGTTAATTTCTACCTTGTGCAATTCGTGAATTATGAGAAAAATTACAGCTACAGACAAAATAGAAAAGCTTTTTCTTAATTATTGAAGAAGAGGACCAAGGTATTGGAGCCCAAAGGGTGGGAAGTAGAAGGGAGAAACCTTGATAGTTGATTTCTCAAACTAATGGAAGTTAAGATCATGGATCGCCTTACTAGAGAAGCTTGTGGAGGAGCGCATCAAGGTGGAGGAGTTGATGCTGCTGCTTGAGTAAGACATTGTTTACAATTTTGTCAGTGATTCAAATCTTTTGCACTTTTGACCAGTTAAATGGAGAAAATGGGACTAGTCAAAGAAGGGGGAAAAAACTCAAAAAGGCATGAAGCACTCCAACAGCTAACTCTTTAACTGAAAGCAAGAGTAATACCAAATCATACAAAGTCAATGAACCAAAATCCAATTCAGATTTCAGTATAAGCAAAATAAATTGAGAAAAAGGAATCTACTTTGCTATAGATGCCATAGAGTTCCCTAAAAGTCAAACAAAAGTCACAACCAAAATGCAGAACGGCATACTTCAAAATTCAACTTCCCTATACCCCATCTGCAGTCTTCTTCCTCGGTTGATAGAGGAATTCTACTTACATTTATCCTTGCTTTTCTTCAGATTTTTCTGCTCTGTTAAGGCTGCTTTGATTGTTTTATTGTTTTCTTCTTCCTCTTTTTCCAAGCAAAATATTTTATCGATTTCATTAGGGGCTTTTGGGGTGTAGAAGTAGATGTCTCTCATAGTCATGATTACTCCACTGGTTTTGGTTTCTAGATTAACTCCTTTTGGCATCTTTAGCGGACGAAAGAGTGGGGCTATACTTGGTTTTCACCAAATTGTGAAGAAAACATTGAAGATTAAACGTAATTTGATATACGCTGCAAGATATCGCCAATGTCTTCTTCCTTAAGCCCTAGCTAATAGAAGAATGAGAGATCCAGCTATGATTATTTCTCTTAATACCAAAATTATCCTTAATACCAATTATCCTCAGCCTACTTTGATTGATAATTGGACCAAGGTCGTACCTATAATTGAATTGAATTTGATTAAAGGTTGTACTTGTGGAGTAACAGTAGGATCGGAATAAACCAATGTACTAAGCAGAATAACTAAGGACCAACCCTGGGGAAAAAAAACAAATTACAGGCTTGTATAATGTTTCATTTTGCCACAAAACTCTCATCCAATCTAGCCATTGTCTTATAAATTAATTATTTCTCTTTTTATTGGCTGTTTTATATGCTTTCTAGATGTCCAGTTTCTTCTCTGTTGTTGCAGTTTAGTATATATGATTAAGTGGGTCCCTTGAACTCCCTTATAAATACTTTTAAATACATAACTTAGACTTGAAATTCAGAAAATTTATGTTCATTTTGCCTTCCTTTTTACTCATTAGTTTCTTTAATATTCTTTTGTTGCAAAGCATACTTCAGAGCATGAACGTTGACTGGTACCATTGAAAATTAGTCACAGAAAGGGGGAAAACAGGGACAAAAGGAAATTAATAGATTGTGACCTATGTTGCTCAGGCTCTCCGAAAATGTCGTCGGGTGCGTGTCAGATTCTCAAAAGCAGTGTATTTTTGGAGAATGCGATACGGATGCTGCAGTGTTTCAGAGAGTCCGTGCAACATAGATTGTGACGGATTGATTGCAAAAATTTTGCTTTGTAATAGCGTCAGACAGTCTAGGCTCGTGCTATTGAATTGTTTGGAAGAATCACACTCCCTCTTAAGAGTGGTGCTCTCCATAAAGCACACTCCAAATGCTGCAGCAAAAAGTTAAAACAGTCTAGTGGTTGTGCATTGCATTGTTCAGAAGAACTTTGCAAATGCTAAAGAGTGTCACTCTCTTTGGTGCGGCACTTGGATTGTGATTTGCTATTTCTACAGTATTGAGGATTCACAGAGTTTATGTGTTTGATTTATGAAGCATTTAATCTGTAATTATGTCATGCCCTATAATTTTCTTGCCTCTTAAATTTATGTCAAATTTCAAATAGAATCAAAATTTCTGATGACAATATGTGCTTTATTTCTTGGAGCAGGAGCAAGGTATAGCTGTCCTCAGCAAAGCAATTGCGGCTTGCACCCAGGAAATAGAACGTCATAAAGGAAAACTTACAGTCAAGGAGGCCCCTCGAGCGGTGAGAGATTTTTGTTCATTAAACCTGTTTTGTATTCCAATTATAGTCATGCATTTTCTTCTTCCTAACTCTGAGAGACCTTTACTTTGACATTGGGATGGTTGACACATAAAGATATGGATCAAGCGTAGACTTAGAATTGCAAGATTTAGCACAAACAAACAATAATTAATAAAGCTTGTAAATCTCTTGATAGTTATTTGATGCTGGGGAAGACCTGAGACCTCCCTTTTCCCCCTTGATAAGTAAAACTGACACTTCAGGGGGTTTGTTATTAGGAGCTCAACAGATATAGCGCTCTGATTACTTTTTTGAACTATTTTCCTGTTGAATCAAGTTGGATCTTAAGATTTAGATTTAAAAACTCGGTTGATGCTTCTCTAGAGTATTTGATTGACTGGAATTGAGCACCGAGATTAACTGTACAATTGTATAGTTCCGACATATAAAAATAACCCTACAATTGTATAGTTTCGTCACTACTTTTCTTTGTTTTTGTCTCGTGACTAATATTTCTCGTCTTGCGGCTCTGATGTGATAAAAAATCTTTTCAGGTGAGTGAACGGGAAGATAAATTATTTGCTGAACAAATGGCTAAACTTGGACGTGAAAACGAGGAGAGAAGTGGTGATGAAGATAGTGAAGAGGAAGAAGATACAGGAATGGGAGAAATTGATCTTGAAAAGTCAGGAACTGGAATAACAGATTGAAACTGAAGCTTGTTGTGGACTTGAACAACAGTCCGCATTTTCGTACCTAACTGTCTGCTCTTTTCTGTGTCCTTTGTTAAGCCCTTTGCTTATTTTTGGCCTTTCTCTTTTTAAGTATTTGAGATGGTATACAAAATCAACCCTTTGCTTATTTTTGGCCTTTCTCTTTTTAAATATTTGAGATGGTATACTGAATCAACCTTGATGTTATCCTTACGGCTATTGGTAAAATACAAATTTAGCAATGCATTGAGCAATGATATGGGTTTACTGTCACTTCAGAAGTGCAAATGACAACGCCGTTGGGCAAGCTACAAAGGGGATTGTTGATGGCACAATGTCCACGAAGCATGTTAAAATAATATATTTGACCTATCAAAAGTACGTGTCTGAGCTAAGTGCGTGACAACGTCAATAAGATAGCCGGCCATCAACTACTTTCTGAAATCATATTGATCTTTTGTAAATAGACAGATGCCTCTGCCTAGTCGTTCCTTGCTGTTGAGCCACCTCTCTTACCTATCCTTTTTTTATATTTTATTTTAATTATGCTCCTCCCCAAATCCCACTGGTGGAATTTTACTGGGTTGTTGTATTTTAATTATGCTCTTGGAATTCTTTTTCACCAAACAGTAGATGGAGGGCTCATATTTTAGTGAGTTATGGTTTATAATGTTAAAATGGAAACATATAGAGTAAGAGTAGTAGGATATTTAGCATTTCAGTCATAATCTCAAACTACTATGTAAAGGCGTCATCAAGCAATTGTCTGATTCGACTGTAAGCAGTCAATTCTCCGTTTAAGATTCTAAGTTACAATATATCCACTTGCATGAATAAAAAATCAAGGGACTCGGTGACAAATGGTAGTCCAAAAAACCATGTGCTTATTAAAACCTTAGTTTGTTATTCACAGCAAAAATTGCACTCTGACTAGGACTTTGTTAATGAAAAACTCGGATATTAAGAAATAAAAAAGCTAAATAAAGAAGGGTAAGCTCAAACCCCGTGGCCTGGGGGGTCGGTGGCACTGTTTACACAACTCCTTTGCTGCCATAAACTTGCATCAGATTTTAAAGTCACTGTTAAAACTCTCTTAGAGCGTGTCTCTCAATCGCTCGAATACCTCGCCAAATTCTCAGACCATTTATTATTTAACAGCTGTAATTTGTGGGCCCTAATTTTTTCAAAAATCAATTTATTAAATTTTTATTTTTTCTTCTCTTTCCCTTCTTTTATTCTTTACCATAGCTCTGTCAGAAGAATCTTCCCCCCCCC